CAACCCAAAAGCGATGGCCTCCAACCCAAAAGCAATGGCCTCCAACCTAAAAGCAATGGCCTCCAACCTGGTCTGAACCTCTTTTCATGTCGCCTCCCCGGTTGATGTTGAAAAAAGGCACTGGCGCAGCTGGAGCGGGCCGTGGTGACGGCGGAGGTTGGGCGAATGGAGGTGAAAGTGGGGGAGGGGATGCCCTGCATGGGTGACGATGTGGAGAGGGAAGCGCCAAAAAGTATCCAAGAGAATTCAAGAGACATCTCCAAAGCATGCTGTTTTCAAGGTGTTTCAGACGTGAGATTGCAGCTCGAAAGTGATTATAGAGCCTGAGCAACGTCAGGTATAGTGTTTCAGGGTGATGTGCTTTTTGGTGCCCTGGTTGGGACTTTGCAAGAGACAGTTCCGAAAAACAAAGACACTTCAATTTTGGCGACAGTGAGGTGATCCTTCTGGAGCCCATCTCATGTCGCTTCACATGTCGCTTGACGTCTCAGCGGCTTTGAGGCTCAGCGGCAAGAGATGAAGGAGCGCCTGACGAAGAACGAGTCCTCGCACCAGGAGGTGCAAATGAGATTCGAGGGCTGGAAAGAGGGCTTTAGAGGGCTTTAGAGGCATCGCTCAGGGGTGAGTGTTGCTTCTTTTGGCGAACTTGCTTTCGTACCACAAAAGTTGTCCGCCAATCGTAGGGTGCGGCAAACCAATGTCTTCGAATTGCTCGGCACGAGAGGCCAGCGAGACTCAGAAGAAGCAGTGGAGCATGGAATTGGAAAGTGAGCAGGCGAGTTGACGAAGTGTGAAGGAAGTTGGATCTTTTAGGTTGGAGGCCATCGCTATCGCTATCAAATCTGATGCCTCGGCCCACGGCTTGCAGCTCCACGTTCCTCCATGTTTTGGTCCGGGCGACCGTGGCTGACCGTGACCGGTGGAGGCCCTGCGAGCAGAGTCGGAGCATCGCTGGGAGATGCTCAGCGAGGAGTTGCAGCGGCAAAAGGAGGAGCTGCAAGAGGAATACCGACGTCTTCAGGTGAGGACGACTTCTCTTTGTTTTTTGTCATCGTGGCAGAGGAAGAGCAGCCGTTTCTTTTTCTAATCGCCGCAATCGCCCCTTTTCCTTCAAAAGAGGCCAGCTCAATGTGTGGTCCCAAAGGTTTGACTTGGCTGAGCACCCACGATCCACGGAATCCGCGGCCGAGTTCTTGATCCACAGAGGTGATCAGCGATCTGCCTATTCTGTGTTGATGTGTTTTCGGTGGTTGACCATAGGCGGCCTACCATGCGCTGGAAGAGCACTTGGACAGTGACTTGGAAGAGGCCGGGAATGAGAGGAAGATGGCGATTGATATGGGAAGAAAGCAGGAGGAAACTTCAAATTCTGCTGGATTGGAGGGGATTGGAGGTCTAGGTTCGGCTGCAATCTAATTTTCGGAATGGTTACTACGCTGATGATTCTCTGCCTGCTTAACCTAATAGCAAAAGGAAGCTAAGAGCGATGGCTACACCCGAGTAGCGATGGGCTCCAACCTACTAGCGATGGCCTCCACCCTGAAATGGTCATGCTTGAAACTTCCCAGGCCCTTGCTGAGTCAAAGAGAAAGGCCACGGAGGCCGTGGAGCAAGTCACTGCACTCGAGGCGCTGCAACAGTCAATGTTGCTCATTTGGGGCTCCATGATGTCCGGCCATTTACTGCTCCTGGCCTGCCGGCAGTTCCATGTGCAACTTGGGGTCATCTCGGGTGTAAGTTTTCCTTCCACAACTTGTGGGGGCTGAAACACCAGACAAACCCAACATGGTGACAGACCGAGAGCGAAAGAAGTCCCTAAATTGAAGTCCTTGTCCTGCTTGTGCTGGGTTTCCAGTGTCAAAGAAGTTGGTCAGTTTTCACGTGATCAGTGATCAGTGTCAAACAGCCAAGATCCGGAAAGCCTTTCTCTTGTTGTTCTTTGCCTCTCTTTCTCGTGAGAGCACCCTTTGGTCGCCGGACACTGCGTTGACCTGTCCACGAATGGATAGGATGAGAAGAAGCAGCTGAAAGAGGAGATGAACTCGATGGCGTTGAAGGCGGTTCAGCGGTTCCGCGCTTCGGCGACGGCCGGGGGAAAGGAAGGCGCGAAGCGAAGGCGTAGGGGCGGCGCTTCGGAGGTTTTGTTTCACCCATCGGTTGGGTTTGTTCAGTTCGAGGCTCAGAAAGAATTGGGTGAGATGAGAGGCGAGCTGGAGAAGGTGCCAGCCCGGGTGGAGGAGTGGTAAGACTTTCAGCTTTGAAGCTCTGCTAATGGATGCAAGAAAGAGCTAATGAAGAAACACTCTAAAGTTCATGTCTCAGAATCTGTAGATGTGGATGAGGTGCAGAGGGAAGCCAATGCAGCCAATGATAGAAATGAACACCGGGTGCAGATGCAGTGGCAGACCAGTCACGACTTGATTCAAAAGCGTCGTCATGACATGACTGTCTTGTGGGAGAGACTGTAAACGGGAAGCAGCGTCTCCCTGTCAGTGTGTGAACAGACAAACGTCACCTGTTTTTGATATATAACAGGAGGCAGACCAGTAGTGTTTCTTGACTTGACGATGTTCATTGTCGTTGCACTGTAGCACTTGCAGCCGACTGATTTTGTGCACATAGCTGTGCATTTCGCAAAATTGCAAGGTAGCAGCCTTGGCGTTGTTAAGCGGTTTTCTGGTGTCCTTTTTGGTTGCCTGTGGTGGCCCAGAGCTTTCCTTTTTGGTTGACTTTGGTTGCCCATTGGTTGCCTTCAGTCACCCTTATGGTTGCCCAATAGGTGCCTTTTGTTGTCCCGTTTGTTATGGCTGCCATTTGGTTGCCCATTGGGTGCCCATTGGTTGGCTTTGGTTGCCGACTTGCTACCTTCAGTTGCCCCATTATGTTGCCTTCAGTTGCGTTTGAGTTGTTGGCGTTCTTGTAGGCAAGCCGTTGAAGTCACGCTGCCGTTGTCGCGGTGCAGGCTGCTACGCTGAAGTTGGAGCAAGTTGAGAAGGATTTGGAGGAGGCCGGGGCCACGGAATAACTTTCCCCAACAAACCTTGTCGGTCCCTGTTGTGGCACAGGGAGACCTTCCAAATGGGTACAGTAGCGGATTCTGAGACCCATGTTTTGGTCTCATTGCCACAAAGTTGGACCAACAATAGATGTTGGCTTGCCTTGGGATTGCCCTCCAGAGCACCACTCGTAGTTCTCGTTTGGTTCTTGAGAGTTCTCAGGGTCCCACACGTGCGTGCCTTCAGTGGTCTCACGGTGTAAACCGCACCTTCCAGAACACTTCATTTTGGTGCACCTTGAAGTGAGATGCTGAGATGCTCATCGAATGAACACTCCTCATGGTTTGTTCCGGGAGGCACAAGCCGGCTTGAGAGACCAAGAAGCGTTGGCGGCGGAGGAGGCGAATCTGCTGCAAGAGGCGGATGATCTGGGTGAATTTCCAACTTCCAAGGGATGTGCTGTGGTATTTTTTTCTCCATGATTTAGTCTATACAGGCAGATCAAACATTTGTATATGAGTGTACACAAAACTAAAGAACCGTTGTTTGTAAAACAAACTGGTACTTTATCACAACAGCATAATAGCCATCAGTCCATGAAACCATCAGACTGGCAAGGAGCCCGGCTCCCTTTCACACTCCCTGAGCCCGGCTCCCTGATGATATGGCTTTCCTCCCTTAAACCGATGGTTGAAAACACAGCGTTTCAAGGAGCACAATTGCTGGTCTTCATGACTCGGATGCTTGATGGGGACGTTGATGAGTCGACTCCGATCTCTTTTCCATCCATCTTGTTTTCCCCTTTCTGATCTTCTCTATGCCGTGCCAAAACTGTTGCAACAGGCGCAAGAAGAAACCACAAAGCTGAAAGAACAATTGATGAAGCTCGAGGTGCCTCACTGACATGTTCAACACTTGTTGTGGCGCAAAGGGTCCGCGCAGAATTGGCTGAATTGGCGTGCGAGGTCGACCGGATTGCGCTCGAGCAACAATTCCAAGAGGATGTGAAGAAGGCCACCGGTTCCAAATTTCGGAATTCTTGGGATTGTGCCATTTACTCTGAAACCATGGTACATACTTAATTTAGTTTGCACCTCTCAATCACACGCGACCCTTTTACCCTGAGCGCCTGGAAGAGAAATCAGCTTGATTGAGGTGGAATCGGAGTTCAAGAGCAAGATGTTTGCTGCCGAGGAGGAGGCTAAGCAAGCCAAGGCAGGGCTAAATGAATCAATTCTTGTTTGCACCTGTTTGCGGCGTGGTGGCGCAAACTGGCGTGCCGGCCGCTTCAGCCGGTTTGATTTCATGCACGCAAGGCCGGGCAAAGCAAGCTTGAGGGTCAAATATCAGCGTTGCGCAAGGAGGTGCCTGCACTAAAGCTTTTTGCGCCTTGCTCACGCTGTGTTCCTTGGGGCCAGATATTGCTGGTCAAGTGCAGATGATGCGACATAGGAGCTTCTGAGAGGCAGAGGAACGAGTTCACCTGCTGACCAATGACTTGAAGTCGGAGAAGGTGGACTCCACGTCAACTTTGGCGACCATCTTGTGAATGCTTTGGCCCTCCTCAAACAAATATGAATATTGTTATATATATATATACACATCTATTTGGAAAACACGTCCAGAATCGTTCAGATGTTGGGTCAACACATCCAAGATTGCGTCTTGAGGAGTTACGTGTGTCACTTGAGAAGCAGCTGGAAGA